CAGCCAAAGTCTGGCCTCTCTTGCCTTAGTTTGTTTCTTCCTCATACACAGAATATCTGTTTCCAAGGCCCAGCAGTTGTTGACATTTGAAAATATCACACGGCAGTGGAACACTTTATATTTATGCCTCTGTTGAAAGCAAAGTTGTATCTCGAAGTCCCCAGAACCCACCATTACTTTGCAATTGCCAAAGCACGAGTTTTTGATGAGGGCAGAGTAAGTCAGCCAGCATGCTCTCCACTCCTAATCCAGCCAAAAGCTGCTTAACACATCAGTCTCTGTCCTATAAATCAGGGTAGATGAGGACTATAACTGATTTCCCCTTCCTGCCTCTTTTAGGAAGGACAGATAAATGAAGGTTGCAGAGACACGACAGCTATTAACAGGGATAAACATGATACCCCTGACCTTAACTGCAGTTCCTGGATCAGATGCGGGTGCACGCCTCCATGCGCACACGCATGTGTGTGCGGACACCACAGGACTCAGATTTTCCTGGCAAGTTGTCTGCTGCTGGCAAGATGAAGCAGTAATGCTGCTGGCCCAGAGATGCTGAGCTGAGGACTAGCACAGGCCAGCAAAGTCAAAGTGAAATTAGGTTTCAAAGTTCCAGTCCTAATTTCCCCCTAAAACAGAGTCATTCTCCTCATTGTTTCCGTAACAGTAATATGTACTTTTGACAAGCAATCTGCACTTGTTTTCACATCCAGACATTCTGTATTGGTTACACACTGCTTGGAGTCAGAGACACTGGCTTTGGCCAGCTGAGATTGCAGCTTTTGTACATGATGCACCTCAGTACGTGATGAAGTCTGCCATACCCTCTGTGTGCAACTCTCAAGGTTGCAAAGAACTCAGAAAGCATTAACAGAATTATATAAAAAAATAATTAAAACAAAAAAAAAAAGTCAGATGCTGCCAGCCTCAAAGCTCTCTTATTTTACAGTGCTGAGAAATAAATAACTATATAAGCAGAGGAGATGTTCTGAATTAGGGCAAATCTCATGAGTTACTCACATTGCAAAATCCTATTTAGGTGGCTAAATAATAGCTGATTGCAAATATTTTTGTGAGAGTGGCCCTTAAACCTTAATCTTTGCCAACACACAGCTAAGGGCTATTGAAAGGCATCCCCTGACCTCTTCTTTGAAAACTGAATAACCATGAGTTAAAGAAAACCTGGGATTTCTGGGAGACTTTCCAAAACTGCAAGCTAACAATGCCTGAAGCAGTCACTGCCATACTCTACGCTGAGGAATTCTTTCTTCTTGCAAGCTGCTGAAATGTGTGCTTCATTCATGTAATGCTTTTGTGCTTACATTTCCCATAAAAACTTTGTATGAAAATAGCATCACCACTGACACTTGACAAACAAGGAGCATTTACTTCTTAATTTTATGGTCACCCACATATATTCTTATGTTCCATCAACAGCTCTCATGATGAGAGTGTGTGTGGCTATCATATCTATTGATCATGTCAGATATGGAGATGATTGCTAGGAATTACGATGGGGATGGTGCCTATTGTTTCTGCATTTCATGCAATAAACAGCATGTTTAGCATGAAAACCATCTGTACATGCAGGCAGGGAAGAAACTGCAATGTATAGTGAGGACTGCTTGTTTCTTTTCCTCTTTGATGGATCCCTAATTAACTGACTTTCCTTAGCTGATTGCCAAGGGGATATGCAATGCCTCTTCCTGAAAGACATAAAACAGAGAAGGGAGAGGGTATAAAGAAAGAACACATAGCCTCATTCAAGGGCAGGTTTGAGCCTGAAGTCAAAGCAAAGCTGACCTAATTATTCAGCCTAAAGAAAAGAAAATTGATGAGCCCATGGATTTTTTCAAAGAAAAAGGAATCATCTGTTTCCCATGGTCAAAGTAGATAAGAAATGTAGTAATGGATTTCATTTATAGCAAGAGAATCTGGGGAAGATAGATGAAAAACAGTAAGAAGAGTTTACCACTGGCACAGAATGTCTTGGGAAGATACAGATTCTTCCTCATCACAGGGTTTAGAGGGACTTGTTAGCCAAGTATGCCAGAAATTAAATGTGGAATGTTAATCTCACACTTAGATGAGGAGATCGATAAACTGACTTCTAGATTGGTTTTTCTAAATTTCTGATTCTGTGGCTTTTAGAATAGAAGTGCTGTCCAAAGGCAAGAGCAAGCCACGGGAGCAGAACAAACAAAGATGACTAGAAATAATGCAAACTGATGAGATTTTAGATTTTTCCTTTCTGACAGGGTGGAATTAATCTCATCCTAAAAGCTTTTTAAGCAACTCTAAAACACAAACTGTAGACGAGAACAGCTACATCAGGCATATAGATGCCTTTAGAGAAGCAAACCAGACATTTCTGGAGCATAATTCATATGAACTGTTCAAAACATCCACTTTTAACTGAGTCAACCAAACATCTACCATCTACTTTGTCAGTAAGTCTAAGGTTTTTTTTACTGGGAAAGAAATCTGCTGGGAATGGCTCAGTCCCAGGCAACTACCTACGTGCCTAACCTAATGTTAGTTACAATGGATCCCAGTACAGGTGACTGGCTTCCCAACCCCCAATTTTGCCTCCTGCTCGCCAGGAGTTCTGAACCCAGACCACAAAACAATGGCATTCCTCTTCCTCCCTGAGAGGTAATTCCCAAAACCCCAGAACTCTGATAATTTATAAATTTCTTGTCTTTACTTTTCTTTCCTGCCTTCAAATTTTGCTTTTCTTTACTCCTCCTGCTGCAACACCTTCACTGTTATTCTCATCACCTGGCTGAACCTGGAGGATACTGGAGAGATGTAGTGACAAGCCAGCAGAGTGTTGCTTCAAGATGCTTTTCAGGGAAGCAGAGACAGGCTTTACAAGCCCTGCACAGTTGGACAGCACCTCCTAATACTTGTAATGTTCTTAGATTAGCTATGAGGAATGCACAGACACGCATCATGATCACACAAACTTCATTTGCCAAGCCAAACAAGTTAAAAGCTCCTTTTTAAAAAAAATATTTTCTCTCCAACTCTTGCTCCTGCTCAGAGAAGGCTGACTAGATGCATATCAGTTGGTACATCAGCTACTATGGCAAGCAACCTAAACAAGTTCTCTGTTATCAAACCTCCTGAAAAAGAGAGAGCAAAGTTGGTGTACGCTTCTCAAAGGAATTAGAGACATAGTCTTATTTTCTCCTCTTTCTTCATTCCTCCAGTTAAAAAACAGTCAATGTTCACTGAATCTTTACCTGGTAGAAAAGCAAACACTACAACAAATAGCTAAAGTTGTGTTTTCAGCATAGATTTTTAGGATTTCTCTTAAGATCAGTAAAAAATGGTTTTAAGCACCAAAGTTTCAGACAAAGATACTGCTTACTCAAAGAAATGTTTATATGTCAGATGAACAGACTAAGCAGAGTCAGGCTATGTCTGTACTTTGGCACTAGACCTCCAAAAACCAACTACACACTTCCAAAAGGGATTTAGACAAAGCTGTTGTCAGCATTTCTTGAGTCTTTGCTGGAAAAACTGCCACAGGGTTCACTGCGAGGAGACACTGTGCAGCCACCAGTGCCATCCTTCAGGTAAGAGAAACAAGTGAACCCAGACTACACAGCCAACTATCCAGGTGTCCTCTCCTTAAAGGCAAGACATCCATTCTGAGCACAAAGCCACCTGGGAAACTCCTTTGCTGGTCAAATGTCCCCCTCACCTTTCTAATTCTCATTCTAAAAATATCTAAAGCTACTTTTTCACCATCGGTACCTTTTGCCTTAGAGTCAACTACAGCAATTTCATTACTGCAAAGTGCAGATCTGGTGCTCTAGTTTGATTTTTATTTCCATATTATAAGGTCCTCTAGAGGAATGCAGATGGTGTTCTTGCTTCTGTCTGTGCCTGACACAAAAGGTCATTGCTGTTCCCAGGAGACATCTCCTTTTTCAGAGTCATCCTTCAACTCACAGAGTCAGGTCTGCACAAATTGCCACCTTCTGCTCCTACACAGGCTAACCGAGCATTTGTCTGGATCTGGGAAAACCAAGAGGCCCTCCAGCTTCACAGGTTAGTCAGAAAAATACAATTACACCATCTTGAACTGTGAGAGAATAATTGCATCAAAAACCATGATGAAGTGGTGAAGCTAAACAGATACACACATAATGATTGTGAAGTAGTTACTGCTGTAAAAAAATCTTGTCTGACTGATTCTTCAGCCAAGTGTTCTTTCAGACCTTTGATAGTTTAAAAAAATATTAGAGATTTTGATACCAATGGATTGCAAAGATACCATGGAGGGAGAAAGAGTGTAGGAGCAATACAACTTTTGCTGTGTCTTGTTATGCACAAAAATAAATTCAATGTGGTTGACAGCTTTGTTTGTTTAAATGCACAAAGCCTATAGTTAGCTTTTTCTTCTTTTTCCTTACAACTGTGATTCCCAAGTCAGGAATACTCTTTGTAACAATAAAGGTATCTGAAAAAAAACTTGTATTTTCCTTAGAGAATTACATACATTGATTTCATTATTGTATTAGTCAGCCTCTGAAAAACAGAACTCATTGAATTTTCTCAGATGACTTTGTCTGCATTTGCTGATTACATTTATCTTCCACACAGAATTGCATCTGTCTTTCTTTATCACATAACTTAAACTGAATCATTAACTAAATCTCAATGGTAGATACTGGGAGTCTAAGAAATTGTGATTAAAAAAACCAGAATAAATTCAAAGTCAAAACATGAAAGGCCTTATGAAAAAAAAGGAATTCCACCAAACATGACTTTTCATACAATATGTGAAATTCAGGCTGAAATCAAGTTTTATGCTGCAATAGGCAGACAGCTTTATTGTTGCTTTCAATTCTCTTATTGTCAGTATTTTGAATTAAAATATTTCTTCTATTTCTGAAATCAATCCAGGTGATACTACTTTAGTTTAATTAGCATGATATGGAAATCTGCCCTTTACTCTCATTGTAAGCATTTAAAAAAATACATCTTACCACTTTCATCCAGCAAGAAATCATCCTGGTAACGGAACTTTTCTGGTCCACATGCAATAAAAATGTCATCATCGCCGAAAAAATCCTGAAGGCACATCACCTACAAGGAAAAAGGAAAAGAAGGCTTTGTATTAAATACCTCACCATCAGAATTGTAACAATAAATCCCTCTTTGTCTCCATCTGCATGAAAATTCTTCACTTTTAATGGAATCAACAGGGCTTCATCTCCAGATAAATTTCAAAGCTGTGCTCTGACCATCTGTTACAAGTGAGAAACACTTTTATGGACACTGCTGGGAAAGATAAGACAAAAAGCCATAACTGTCAGATTTATTACATGATGCATCTATGGTATGAGGTAAATGCCTTCTGTTTGTGCACAAGATACCATTCAGCAGTTAGTGAGTAATTAATTTGCTTTTCAGTTCACATCTCCATCATTTGGCTGCAATGAAACAAGGTTACGGCTTTGTATGCAGAATGAAATGCAGTTATTTCAGCAAAATCTCTCTGACAGGGAATCAAACTCACATGGCTGAACTAAGCCTCCTTCACAATCTCCCTCTATGCCAGAGTCAATGGGAAGTTCTCTTTGAAGGGACCAAGCTCAACAGGCAAGTCAGATGAGCTGGGAGTAATTCTTCTAGTACTGAGTAAAAGGATATGTTCCTTCTACCCCATATATGAACAGTCGGGATTACATTGGTGTGTTTTATGTCCCTACAGGAGATTTCAGAAACTTTATTGCAGTCTTTGAGTATCTAAAGAGGGCTTGGAAGAAAAGTGGGGATGGAATTTTTGTAGGGGTTGTTGCAACAGGACAAGAGGCAATGGTTTTAAATTAAAAGAGGGCAGATATAAGGAAGCTTTTTACAATAAGGATAGTGAAACACTGGAACAGGTTGCCCAGAGAGGTGGTAGGTGATCCATCCTTGGAAACATTCTATGTCAAGAGCTGGATGCAACTCTGAGCAGCCTGATTTATTTGAAGATGTCCCTGTTCATGGCAGGGATGTTGGAACTAGGTGAGCTTTAAGTCCCTTCCAACCTAAATCATTCTATTCTATGATTTCTTTACAACAGCTTTTAGTTATTTTACAAGGCACTGCTTAAAAATCAATCAATCATTTCAATCTTTCCAATCATATGGAATCATATTAAACAAAGAATCAGTGACTTTTACCAAAAACTGACTTTGGACTTGCTGATACACCTCTGATAAATTTTAAAAACAAATTAGATGTCTATCCATCTCTAAAACAAAAATACTTAATGAAGTCTGTTCTCACTTCACATTGACAAGAAGATTCTAGAAGAGTAGGCTCACTTAAATATTTTTATATCAAGTTTTGTAATGAAATAGCACACTGATGTTTGAACAGGTAATTTCACAAACTGAGTTTCAACTCTACAGTCAGCAAAGCAACACATCAACAGTCTCTAAAAACTGACAAAACAGTTGAGAACAGTCCAGCTCATCTAAACAAGCCCCCTCAGAAAAAGCATTTAAAGTCTACAAAAACACAAGTCAAAGAATTACCTAATGAGATTTTGCCAGATTTTGGCATAAAAAGTATCCCCACCAATCTGAGTAACTGGTGTCTAGGGGTTATAAAATTCATATCATCATTCCCAGAAACATGCCTGAAGGCTTGGACATCCACAACAGTTATGAGCCTCTATAGCAGAAATTACATAAAGTGAAAAATAGAGGTACATGCCGTGACTTGCTTGTAGACTACTATTCACAATTAAAACAATTTTAAAGGAAAAACATATGCAAACAAAAAAAACACTGAGAGAACAACTAGATGAAATAAATACCAAAAGAAGAATAATGGTTTTTCCTAAATTATCCTTTCCTTAAACAATGCATGTCCTTTTAAATTCAGATCCACCACAACCCTATTTCTATGACCACTGTCATCTTTACACTACACACTACCTGAACACCATCATCAAAAATGTAAATATTTGACAGAGCTTTATACCATGTTCCTACTCAGTTTATGTTCTATTAGTGTATCAGCCTCAGCAATGTTAAAATAAACTCATTTGCTTCCCATCTTTCTTTTTTGTCCACAAGACATATCCTGCCTATCTTCCCACCCCATACTCCCACCAAACTTCAAACAGCTCTTCCCTTCAGTCAAGTTCCTCTGAAATTGCCACCTCTCCCACTGCATGTACAAAACTACTAATTTGCAGAATAACATTAAAAATCCTGTGATTTCCTTTTTGCTTCCCAAGTTTGACACACTTCTGGGGAGTGATAACTTTTACATTTGTCTTTATACCAAGCAGAGTATTAGAATCAAACCAGCAATAAGCAACTCTAGGCACAAAGTTGAGTTATTTTGACAACAAACATAAATACAAATTAAATTCACATTTGAGAGAAAAAAAATAGATTTAATAAAACCCAAAAGTGCTTGGCTCTGCTCAGTTAAGAGGGTTTCTTTGAAGACTAAACAAGACATTAAAATTCAGGTAGCAAGACTTAACCAGGCTCAACTACGCCAATTTTTAAAGCATCTCAGGTTCAATCAGTGCAATTTAAATGCAAATAAGAAAGAAAATAGGATTAACACACAAAAAATAAATTGTGCTTAGATATCTTTGGGTTTTATTAAACTTTACACTTATAATTTAAAGTGTTCTTATGCTTGCCTCTTTTCTCCTTGCCCTCAGTTTCATACTCTGTATGTAAAATTACAGCTTTTCTTGCCTCCTGAAATTTTAATAATTTTGGAATTATAATACTAGCTCTTAGAAAGGTTGTAGCAAGATCACAATTTCCTCTTCAATCCATCTTCTTCCAGAGTAACTTCTCTTAAGGCTTCCAGTACCTTTTAATATTGCTACTGGAAGCCTTGAGATGTCCTTCACTGTCTGCATTTTCCATCCCTTCTCTCTCTGCATCCCTGGCCCTCTCTGCAAGTTCACACTCCTCAGCAGTTAAATTAAAAGGCATCTGACACATACACAGCACCCCTTTCAGGCTTTTTTGGAGAGAAATCTGCAAACACTTTCTATTCACACCCAGTCATCAGCTAAGCAACAGGACCTGCTTTTTATTACCCATTTTCACTTTTGGAAAAGATGGCTCCTAAAAAGTCAGAGTTTAGAAGATCAAGAATTTTTCTCACCTAAGCTGGACCATACAAGTGTTTTAGAGGTCAGTGTGCTCTGTTGCTTGTGATCAAATTTAAAATTAGTCAGTTTTTACATCAGCAAATTACAAAAGCTTCCCTTGGACTTTTCTGTTGTCTTCAAGGCACAGAACCCATATTCTCTTTCACAAATAAGGTTTTATTTTTCACAGGGGGGGAAACAAAGACAATGCAGTCAAATGTATACCTTAAATAAAAAGAAAATGAAAAAACATTGTCTGCCACACACGGTTCTAAATACTCTGTGACTCTTCTTAACAAAAAACTTTCTTGTAAAGAGATGTTATTTAACAATAATGGTGTCTCTCTTACACTTTGTACACTTTTTTATGCTAACAAATAACAGTAGCATTAGCAGGGGCCAGGGAGTGCTTGCATTGGTGCTGAGAAAGACAACAAGCAGCAGAAAGCAAAATCGATCACTAGTATAGGCTTTGGTTATAGGCAAGCCACAAAAATAAAACTGGCTGACCTGGCCACAACCATAAAAAACAGAGGCAGAAAATTTTATCAAGCCTTAAGTCCCCTCAGTAAGTTGTACACTGTGAAGCCTGGATTCCACACAACTCATCATTGCCCTAGTAAACAACTCAAGACACCCACATGCCCTTCCAGTGGGAAGCACAGGCGTCTACCTAGGAAGATCCCCAAATTATTTTGTACCTACCTCAGTAGCTGCTACTGTGCTTTGACCCTCTAGTCAAAGCACCACAGCAGCTGCATCCCCAGAAGGAGGGACCGGGGAGGACCTGGATGGGCGAGGCACCCACAGCTGCCAGGGAAGCACAAAGGAGATCAGCAGAGCTGTCCCAGAAGGAGAACAGAGAGCAAGAGCAGCAAACTTGTCTTCCAGCCCAACCTCAGGACTGGCTCTGTAGCATATACACTACATACCATAGGCATTTTGAAAAATTATCTTCACTTTTCCTTCTTTAATTAAACAGGCAAGCATTTGGAGCCAAAGAGAAATCCCCTAACTACTACGGCAATTTTTCCTTTGACTGGCCTGAAACACTAAAGTTCACCTCTTTCTAGATGGTCTCCTTGTTATGGAGATCCTCCTTCTCATATACACAAAAGAATCAGAAATTGTGCTTCACATTGTGGAGTGCACAAGGCCCAAGAACAGCAGCTTGTAGAGCCAATACCTGGTTATATTCTCTCACCAGTAAGAAAGGGCAGTCAGAAGTAGTTTGGAGGAGGTGCAGAGGGAGGAAGAAAGGGAAAGGAAAACACAGGGGAAAAGAGGGAAAGGCAAAGGGAAGAGAGAGAGAAAGAAGAGGGAGGGAATCAAGGAGGGAGAAAGGGATGGAGAGAGTGATTGGATCAATCCTTTCAGTAAAAGCATGAAATGAAGGCTACAGATGCAATTCTCTTTTATAACTGCTGTATTCTGACTGTGTTCAGGGACCTTTTAAATTCACATTTTCAAACACATCCACAAAAAACCCCCCAGAACTAAATTCTTTGTGTATATCAGTCACAGCAAATTGAATACTTTTCTATTCTTTTAAAGTTCACCACACATCAAATTAATACTGAAACACTGATATTTTAAATAAATAATATTCAGAAAACAAAATTTTCCACTGCATTCAGGAACAGTTCATAGCACCAGCACATTACACCAGAACCATGGTGATTACTATCTCACACCTTTGTTACAATTTCCATAGTGCTGGGTTCTTGGACAGAAAAGAAGGAGGGGGTGTTCTGTGTGTTTGTCTTCTTTTAATAACGACTTAATTTGACTTAAAGCTGAAAGCTGTTTTGGATGAGCAATGAGGAAACCTCAAGCTGGCATGTCCTCAGGCATCATGGCTGCTGGAGAGATGGAAAGAAAACTGAGGACAAAGAAATGAGGTGGTTAAAGCAAAAGAGATGCAGAAGGGTCTAAGGAAAATTCAAGTGATAAGTAGAGGGTT